GCATTCCTTTTCATCTATTCACATCTTTTAATCAGGCACTGATCTGCCACAGTACTCACCCCTGTCACTACTTTTGATTCTGCTACTATGACTCACAAGCTCTCTGAAATCTTTAAAATGAGTTAATCCTTAATTAATGCAGTAGACCTAACTAATCGACTTGCCAGTCCCCAAGTTGACAATCATTTCATTAATGTTCACATAATTCTTGTCATTCCTTTTCATAGAGAAAACGAGGCATGAGTCAGGGTGAAGTTTGTTTGTTTTTAAAAGGTGATTTTTTACCAATCTTCTTTACTATGTTTGGTGTTTTTCAAATTATGTTCTGCTGGTAGATCTCAACATCTGAGGTGACAACAAAACTACTGAGAAGCACTGACCCACGCATTCTCTCTCTGCCAAATATCTCATACTGCAGTTTATAACCTACCAGAGAGAGGACTGCAGACTTAAGCAAACAAAAAAGGCTTCCCTATTCCCACAAGGAACTTGACCTCTGGCATCAACTTCTCATAAGTTTTGCCGTCAGAACTTTCACCCTTGCTATTTATATGTAGGTGGATAATTTTTTAAATCCAAGAAAATGCAATCCATCCTCATAAAAAGATTTAAAAGCTCTACTTCATGTTATCTCTCTTATTAGTAAAAACAAAGAACATACAAAGCTAATATTAAATAATATTATAGGGTGTATTTTAAAAAGTAGATTATGGGATGTAATTTTCTGAAGGAAAAAATGACTGAATTCCAAAAATTCTAGCTTTTCAGTCCCACGTATGCATTCTCTTCTAACATATATATTTACATCAATATCTTTTAAAGAATAGTTCTGTTCTTCATTCGTATAGTGCAATAATGATGAAAACTGACAAATGACATGCCTCATCCGCAAAAAAATGTTTGGCCCCAAACAAAAATGTTATACCGTCCATGTAAATGAAAATAAGCATCTGAAGAGTTAAGTCTAGCTTTACTGTAATGAACAGTCTGGAAATAGCCAAAAATAATCAAGACTGAAAACAAACAAAAAAAATCAATATTACTAAGTCCAAGAAAGCACAGTTATTAGAGGTACTTAACTCACAAGAAAAGATGGTTCTCTGCTTTTTAAATATGGTTTTAAATAAATCTAATTTTTCTTCTTTCAAGAAACTGCTAGTCCAACTCGTGTGAAGAAAACTGGCCTAGAGTGGAAATGGCCCAATACCGTAAATCCTCATTAATTTTGATTCCCCTAATTAATTCTGAGTTGATGGTTACCTTCACAGGCTCTGTGAAAACAAATTAATGGTATAAACAAAGCAAATGTCTAGCTTATTTAAATGTAAAAGGGAAAAAGACCATTCTCAAGCACCACGTTGGTATTAATTTTAATTCAAACAATGAACAGAGTAATGATAAATAATTCTCAGCTACCTGTTAAATGAAAGCACTTAAAAGATTTGCTGAAACACAATTAACTTGGTTTCTCCTTATCTGCGCTCAAAACTATTGAAGAAGCACTTAAAGTGCTCTTTGATTTAGATGCAGCTTCCTCACAAATGAGTTGAATTAGCATAATTCTTTCATTATTAAATTATGAAATTCTAGATATCTTGGTTACTGAACACTTACTTCACCCACAATGACTGATTCTATAATTTGATTAATTCCATTCTACTTCGCTTTCTTCCATTTCAACCTGAAAAAGTTACCTAAACATGACTTAACATTGAGGATATTTTTATAAGACATTTAAATTGTGTAATTAGAATAATAATACAAGAAATAAAAAATGTGAACCTCATATCTTTAACCAAATTATCTGAAAAGTATTTATGTTCCAAACTTGTTCAATCACACACTTATTTAAAAAACTCTGTAATATATTCTCACTACATGTATATTTATACATTGTATATGTACTTTGTGCCAATACATCATGTACATTGTAAAACATGCACAGAATATACACTTTAAAAGGATGACTCAGTTTAAATAAACAAATAAG